TTTAAAAACAAGAGAAACAATATAATATGCATATAATCTTGCTACTTTTTTACTTGTCTACTATATAATATAGATAAATAGCATAAAGAGAGTAGATACAATACACATACACATGTCATGTATGCTCTATAATAATATGTTCTTAATATTTGTTGTATTGCTCGTTATAATAAAATAATATGCCAAAGAAAATTTAACCAATTATTTATAATAAGAAAATATTTTTATGTTTGATTTAAGATTACACATTTATTAAAAATAAGCTTTAAAAATTAATGTCTTATTTAAAGTTTGTCGACAAAAGAACGTTGTCAAAAAAAAAAGAAAGAAATAGAAAAATTATCATGCATGAAATATATGATTGAAATATTTATATACGTAAATTATACTTTACTTATTATACTACAAAGTAAAGTATAGACGAGATGTATTGTCATAAAATTTAATAATATATGAATATGATAGAGTTTCTATTTACGTTGCTGTTTTTTTTATCTGTAAGATAGGATGAACAAAAGAAGTGATATAACGTAAACACTAATTGTAGACCTTAAAGAAGGTACAGAATTGCATCCATCGCTGTCACAGGTAAAGACGCATGTTCGATATTGTAGTTTATCTCCAGGCTGCTGCACATAGTTGCAGTAATTTCCCAAATTCGAGGTTGAGCAAAATCTTTTTGTACCGACTCCACCTGGTAGAATATATATGAATACGCGTATATATACATAATTATATTTTTTAAAAATATAATAACTTCTTATATTAAGTGTTATGAAGTAGTGGTTGAATTATGATTAGATGAGAATGTGATCGATCATGGAAATATATCCTATACACAGTGTTATATACATAAATAATAAGTTAGTATTATTTTTCTATATACTTTATATCTTTGCTAACCATGTATTCATGCACATAGATAAAAGAAAATGATTGCACAACACACAATTAAACATATTATATGAAACGAAATGATACAAGTAGAGTGTTAAACATATATATATAGAGTAGTAAAAAAAAGATCCAATATTTTAAGAACCAAAGGAGTTAAAAATGTCTAATTAACATGAGTCCTAAGATCAATCCTTTCGATGTAAATAAATTTTTATTATTTATGAGTATTCGATATCGTAAATAAGTCTTTGGCAACATATTGAATGCACACAGAGGAATTTGATTAGAAACACACTAACTTAAGAAGTATTACAAAGTATAAGTCAATCTATGATCTATAGATGTCAAAATTGCATTCAAATTGAAGAAAAGCATATTAAATATCTATGATTTATACATATTATATTTGCATCTATGAAGTAATCTTTGTTGATTTTAGTAATATTTTATTCTTATTTTTATAATGAACTTATTCTGACAACCTTGAACTAATGTATTTCTTTTTATAGATTCAATATGTTTCCATAAGACTCGCTTACGACATTGAATGCTCATAAATAATAAAAGTCAGTTTACATTGAAAAAGTTGATTTTACGAATCATGTTATTTAGACCCATTTTTATGCATCTTGCTGAGTATTATTAGTCCTTAAAATATTGGATTCTTTTACCGCCCTGTATATATATGTATGCTACCGTGAAAGACAGAAATTGGAAAATGTCAAGATTCACATGGACGCTTGTCAACACTACCAAATTTCTTCATTTTTCATTCTCCAATTTCGGTATTTCACGGTAACATATACAAGATGATTCACTAACTCTTGCCACCAAGATAACTCCGAAAGTATGATAGTAGCAGAAAAGTTTATAGAACAGAAGTTGCATGAAAAATTCGGGAGTATAATATGACGTCAGTTTTTTTTTGCTAGGATTAGTCGCTTCTGAGATTTATAGGTCAAGTTTATTTTTTCAAATGGAATGGTATGTTTTGGTACTTATTTTCTGACAGCGGCTGTCATGGCTAATCCAACGATGTGCAACATTAAGGTATTTAAAGGTCAAAAAAGGTTAAGTCTAGTGAACCAGCCGGCCACGATACAGCTCCTTCGCGTCGTGCTTGCGTCGTGCGTGCATCAAGGTTGCGTTATCCTTTAGGTGTCCGACAAAGGACGGAAAAGTCGGACATAGTCAGGTTTGATGAATTCCTCCTTATTTAATAAATATTTACTGTATTTAATGTTACACATCATTGGATTCGCCACAATAGCCGTTATCAGAAAATAAGTACCAAAACATAGCATTCCATTTAATAGAACAAACTTAACCCTTTCATCTCAGAAGCGACTAAACCTAGCAAAAAAAAACCGACGTCATATTATATCCTGAATTTTTCATGCAACTTCTGTTCTATAAACTTTTCTACTACTATCATACTTTCGGAGCTATCTTGGTGGCCTGTATATTTAAATAAGACAAGCGTTCAAGAATTAGTAAAAAGAAATAAAAATAAGAGATAAAAACTTTCAGCAATAACAAGATTTCGTGACACGAGTAGATTATTAAAATTTAGGACAATTATTTAATGTTTAGAATTATTTATTAGAAGTAGCAATTAATTCGGTGCCTTTTAAAAAAATTGGACGAAAAAAAATGCAATGAATTTAATATTAAGGCATCAAATTAATTGCTACACTTAATATTTTTATATCGTTTATTTTATAACTTAACGATATATACATATACAGGCTGCCCCAAAAGTCGCTTTACCGAAAAAATAAAAATAAAACGAAGAATCATATTGACAAATGATGATATTGATTTAATGGAATTACAATATATTGTTTTTGACTTTATAAGATATTAACCTTCGATTATAGTATCGCTTAAAAAATATGAGCCTATGATGTTGACACTCAAAGTACGTGTCAAAAATATTTATAATTTTTCTATTCGGTAAAGCGAATTTTGGGACACCCTATATATTAATTGTTCATATATGAAGTGTTCTATAGATGGTGGTATAAGCGAAAAAGGAGTGATTCTATATGAAAAATTAAGTCGAAAATATAGAATAAAATTTGTTCGTCCACGGTTACCTTTTCGAGAAAAATAAATTCGAGTACACGTGCAACCCTGGAAACTAAAAGCCTCGTTTGATAAGCGTACCATTATATTTACAATGTTTATAAACATATTAAAAAGCTAAAAAATGTTCTCCGAAATATCCGAGAGTAAGATAGTGAAATCTGTCGAATCGAAACTTGACAAATTTTTAAATCTAGTTTTCTCAAAAACAAAGTCTTATTGTTAGATGAAAATATTTTAATCTACATTTTCGACTCACCCCTTGTTCGCTTATACCACTAGTTACAAGACACCCTGTATATTAAACTCAATTCTTGAATAAAACAGAAAATTATAGTTCAATATATCAATATACACATAGTATGCTTAATTTAGAAATGAATAAACGATCATGCACATACAACATCGAATAATTTAACGGAATAAACCACGAATAAAGACCTCCATATCGTCCGACGGTCTTGACGCAATAATGCGCCTCATAAACGTGACTGCAGTTTATCGGTTGTAGAGAATTTTTAATTAATTCACCATCGGAGCATTGCCATTCGTCCGCGGATGTACATTGGTAACATTCCAGGGCTACAATATGATCGATTTAAGTTATTTTCATTGATCACCGCTGTTATTGACACCGTATGACAATGAACAACAATAGACAATTTTTCATCAGATTTCAGTCTTCTAGATACAATCTCCTATTTATCTATCATTTATATAGTGTAAACACGAAATTACCCAAATAATAATTAGTTAAAAAAATGATTACATTGTTAGTTATTAATATGAAGTAACCAGTTTTTGTACGTTCCACCAGTGCTCCACCATGCTATGCGATATATTAATACCCATCAGGTACCGATATTCGAAAATTGAAAAGATTTTTCGTCGTGTGTTTTACCCTCAAATCGGCCAACGTGTTTCACGCAGTACTGTGCTCCGAAAATGGCGTCGCAAGACTCTGGTTCTACGTCAATGTCACTTGTGAGATATTCGTTGCATTGAAAAGGATGTGTGTTGTTCGTGCTGGTGCATTGGTAACATCGAATACTGTGGACTAAAAAATATGAATAATAAATAAAAGATAGTTTTCGAAAATTTTCAAGCGACACGGAAAGTGAAAGATTTTGAGGGCTTTAAGATGCTTCACTTCTTTATGGGTTCCACACGCTTTTCTTTTTTCATTATTATTTTGGTTCAAATAAAATCTAATAAAAGATCACAAATTCCCAAATTCTTATACACAGAAACTAATTTAGAATTATTAAAATTTCGAATTGTGATATAAATAAAACAAAATTGGTTTTACAAGACCAGAGTCATGAATTTCCTTTTTTTTCTTTTTATTTTTTTTTAAGCCAAAATGGACTGCCGCCCATTTATCCCCCACCTAGACACTGAAAGTTTTAAATACGCCTATTGTTTTCTAACCCAATAACTTGTTTTAGTCATCAGTTTCTCAGTTACTGTTTAAAGACCGATCGCCCTTGTAAACAATCAGTAAACAATTAAAATCAAAGATAGCATCAATGTTTAAATACACTTATAGTTTTTCAACTGGATGACCTTTCTTTTTTAGTCATTGATTTTTAATCGGCGTTAATGTGCGGCTCATGAAGAAAAAAGATTGAGTACCTCTGTATAAAACTATTTGTATCTACAGAAAATATAATAATACAATTAATATTTTTGTAAGTTGCATTTTAATGTACCTTTAAGAAGATTGTGCATACTCTGTGGTGAGACCAATTTTTTTATTATTTATGTAAAATTAAACTTTTCTTATAATAACATGCTCTTATGTAATCAAATTTATATCGTTTTAAATGTATAATAATCCTAAAATATGTTTCTATGTATAAGAATCTTAAAACTGCATTACACGGAAATATTAATTTTTTTAAATTAACAATGAGGGTGTACGAATAATTTTGTGACTCGCTATATACCGAAATTCACATTTCGAGGAATTGAATTTAATCTTTTGAAATAATAATCATTGAAATTAGTTTCATTATATTAGAACAAAACAAGTCAAAATGATTTATTGCAGTAAAATGAGTCTTCATTATTTTTTTCTTTCTTTAAGTGTAAATATGTATAATACAGGGTGTGCCACAAGCAGTTTTATCAAACTAAAAAATTACAAATTCTTTTTGAATAAGTATTTGGATTGGTGGTATTGTGTTGACATATATTTTTATAACAACACTGCAACTATAGATTCATATCTTAAAATGAATAATAAAATATTGTAACTAAATTAATAAAACCACTACAATTTTGTTTTTACATGATAGATATGTTTTCAAAAAATACGTCTAAAAAGACAATGGGAATCGAGGGGAAAAAAGTGGGAAATTGACACGTTGACTGCCGTGCGCATTTTACGTGATTTACGCATGGTGCCAACATTAATTTTTTATTATGCAATGCATGTTATGTTGAAATATTTTTTATAGCAGATAAGGTGAGTTGTATAATGGTATTTAATGCATTTTTCGCGGTGGGAGTCACTGGTGACCCCCAAGGCACTATAGACCTTTTTTACGATTATCAATTGTTTCAAACTGTCCAAAAATAGTAGTAGATTAGAATTTAAGGAAGTTGATTTTTCTGATCAAATGACTGTTTATAGTTCACCACGACGACAAACTATAAAGTGTACAGGAAATTGGTAATAGAACTTTTACTGAATACTTGTGTTGTAAGTGGTGTTATACCAAAAACTAGAAAAATATTTTAATTCCTGATTTTAGGATGAAGTTAGGGATGTATTTAATGAAATGTTCTAATGATAAAGGTTGCATTTCATCAAGCAATTACGTACAAAAAAAACATCGTTATGAATTAGAAAAAAACCAAGAAGTGTGTGAATGTAAGGCGATTTTGCAAAGAGTGCTATGAAAGAAATTCAAAACAAGTAGAGAGAATGAGAGCTAAGAATTGCACTAAAAAAGTGGCGACATATTGTGTAGATTGTTTTGATTCACTTTTTCTTTGTCTACCGTGTTTCAATGCGACTTATCGCTCTGTGTACACACAAAAATAATATATATATTTTCCTTATATTAATAAAATTATTTTTGCATGTTCTGTATGGCATAAATTTCTTACACACACACACAAACCATTATAGGAATAATGGTATTATTTAAAAATTTATCAGTATCGACATTTACTCTTATTATGTATTTTTACTATTGGTCACACGTCGCTGGTCACCGGTGAACCCCATGGCAGTCAACATATTAAAAGAAGTTCGTATAAAAACGGTTGTATTAATGTAATAATTTAATTATTATACACAGGTTGTCTAAGCTGAATAGGATCACCTAAATATCTTCTTTGTTTGAAATTGCACAAAAAAATTTCAAAAGAAAAAGTTGCATTATTGCAGGGAAGAAATGTAATGGTTGAAAAAATTGTTTCTCAAGGTTATTCTTTACGAAACTTCAAGTTTATTAATATTTTTTTAAAATGGAACTCTATATTTTTTTGCTGTATTCTTTTAAAGCAAAAGAAAACAAATTTAATGACTTTAATGACTATATTTCATTTCGATCATTTATACTTGAGATATTTACATTTAAAAATAATTAAAACAAATTGGGCTACATACTCGTATTGAAATGTAAATAATATTGTCTTTAGGAAATTTGAATTAATTACATAAACTACATGTATTCAAAATAGTAATCATTTGCCTCAATACATAATTGGAGTCTTTTAACTAATTTTCTATGCACATTTTCTATTGTCCGCGTAATGTTATCGATTGACATGTAACTAGAAATTCTTTGTTTCATATTTTCAGATGTCGTTGGTTTTTCGTGATAAATTTTTAAGTTCACCCCATAAATAAGAATCTAATGGAGTGAGGTCAAAGGAACGAGCAATCCTCTCCACAGTTCCTCATCATCTGATCCAACGATCTATCCAATATTGCTTTCTATCTAATATTTTTCTTGCATATTTCTGTATAATAGAATAATATAGAGAACAAATATCATGTTGGTAACACATATATTGTTTAATAAAAGTTCCAGGAGAATATCACTGAGAAATGTTGCGTATTTTTTTCTCGTAAGAGTGTCTTCAATAAAATAAGTATTTATGATTTTAGATGATAGAATCCCGTAACACACATTTACAGTCCATGGTCTCTGTTTATTTACCTCTTTTTTTACAAACACATGCATTATTGGTTATAGAAAAGTATAATGCATAACTTTCGGAAATTTTAATTATCTTTAGATGTAAATTTTGCTTAGAAAAACATCGATAACCTTAAATTTCGTTAAAAAATTTTGATTTAAAAGACATTGAGAAAAAATTAGTTTCAACTGTTACGTCCTGAGACGAGTTAGATTAGAACTTAGTTGCTAAGCCTGTTTCAGCCACTCTACATGCACCGAGTTTAGCCAGGAACAGGCAGGTTCGTCTTTCCCAAAGATTAAATCACAATAAAGAATAACAAATAATATGAGGATGTCGAAAGAATGAAAGGAATGAGGAGAAAATCGAGGGATATTAGGAGATTAGCGCTAATTTCTGTTCACCCCGTAGCTCTAGTTCTCTAAGTATTTAATAAGAAAATCATTTACTTACAATACAGGTAATACTTGTGCGGCCTTAAATTTAGTTATTCGCTTACGTTTGACGGGGAATTACAATAGTTTCTCGGGAGCGATCGGCCTCTAATATCTTCTATTGTTTCTCGGCTGGTCGGGGCAGCTGGCGAAATTAGCACACGCTCACGTAATATTAATTTTGACGCGATGATACACAAAATTTTGATAAAGATTTAGTAATTTTACAATATAACGATTTTAGTGAAAGGCGATTGATAATTATTAACACGACTAACGACGTTTGACCAAAAATTATAATGACGACGAAAATTATGACGAGAGACAAGTACAACGTAAATTATAAAGATAAAAGACTCGGGGGCCGAAGAAGAGCTCCTTATATAGACCAACATTATTCCTGATGGGGGTTTACTTGCACCTATTCTCCCATACGCATTTCGCTGTCCTAATCATTACCGCGAGCATTAAGAAGCATAAGAAGTCGCATAGGTGGAGGCTGAATTTACCTTATCATGCAGTTGCAGTGATTAATGTGATTTAATATTTATTTTAGGTCGCTCTGGCACCTATGGTTTTTAGTTTTATTCCGTCATAGATATTTAGTTCCTGCTAATGGGTTTAGTACATCCCTTACGCTCATCCGCCCTTCTTATTAGTAGCGGACGAATGTCCAGGATTACGCCTGGGTTGCACTTTTGGATGGCGCGTGTACTGTCGTAAATGTCGAATAGGTCGAATAGGTACGAGAAAAAGGGAGTAGATTTCCTGGTATGCCACGTAGTGGAAAAGTTGAGAAAGATTGAATATTGCAAGGGAAAAAATAAAATTAAGATATTATAATCGTGGCGGGACGTCACATAACCATTATATTTTCTCTCTACAATAGTACAACTTTTTCCTTTAGAGTTTTTCATACAATTTTAACTAAAAGCAAGATATTACATTAGTTAAATAATCGTATTTTTTTTAAACGATGAGACACTCGTTATATGTAATTGTATTAACATGCTATGTTTAAATACATATATATTCTGAATTGCAACGTCATAATATTTATTAGTATTTTTTAAATTCTTTGGAAATTAAGTATTTATTGGATAAAAACTACGAACCACCATACTTACACACACATGCACGCGCACTGTATGTATACATATACAAGATACTTACATTCATATTTGCCAAAACTTCTTTGCGAATCGTTTTAAATAATTATATAAGATTAACATGATACATTCATTAAATATTACATTCAAAAGAAGATAAATAAAATAATTATAAATAAAAACAAATTATCTATATGTAAATTATATATACAAATGTATAATTTATAATATGTAAAACTTTAACTTTTAAATGCACAAAAATTTTGCGATACTATAATTTGTATTCTTATAACATTTCAAGTTGAATGCATAAGTGCACCTGTTAAGATTTCCTTAGCATAGAAATATTTGAAGTGAAAATAATAATAAGTAATTGAATTTCTCAAAAAATATCAACCACGTAAACCTATGGAGAAATCTGTTATTTATGCCTCGCCCATATATTGTCTTAATCTTGATAAATTTTAATCTCAGAAGAATATTCGTATACATTGCGCTATTTATCTTACCTGTTCCGATGTAAAGTAAAGAAATCACGAGTATCGTAAACATCTTCATAATATATTTAATAGCCATTTCAATACGATTTTATCTTATATTTGACACTGTTGAAAAACGCACAGCAGCCTCACAGGCTGCCTCACGAGTATTACTAACTATTACGATACACGAATCATTTTATTGGCTTATTATCCGACTAGAACCGAATTTAGCCGAATGTTGCCGATCTGCTTTGATGACGCGTACAAACTATCGTTGAATGAAAAGCGATTTTTCGATAAACATACAATTAGATTTTTTGGAATTTACCGTAATTTTACTATTTCTTTAGCACAATGCTGATAATAATTTATGGTAATATCATGTTAAGTATTTACCAAGTAATGCAGCCATTTTTTATAATAGTTCTTTAATTAATCAATCTATGTAAAAAAACTCGATTTGTGGATTTTTTTTCGTTTGATGTGTAAACAAATGTAATAATCATCATTAATATTCCTGGGTAAAGAAATGACTATCATGTTAACTTTCATAGAAACATTAATAACTTGTCCATACATTTCATATTAGCTATAAACATGTTGAAGTCTTCTAATTTGCAGTAAAGGAATTCGTGGAGAAATCAGTCTTTCACATATTAAAAATCTAATGGACAATTTATTAAATTATTTAAAGAATAACATATTCAAATATTTATACATGCACGTCATTGCTACTATTAAACCAAAACATTCAACGACAAAACTAAACACTACAGGACACTGCAGGACCTGCAGGATACAGCAGCGACGCACAGCTGTCTATTTATTTTATCTCGCTGGGCAAACTCCGGCTCCCCCGAGTTTATTCGAGTAAGCGTTTCACATCGGAACATATAACGAATCAGATTTATTAATTGGCCTGCCAAAAGTGCGTAAACGGTACGCTTAAAGAAATTTTCACTTCAATAAATCATAACATCAATCAATTTAGTTAATTATTTGACTTATTCATTGTCCTTGCGCATATATATGTAGTTACCTGCGCATATGCATATGTATATATATATATATATATCGCGCATATAATAAATAATATATAATAGAAAATTAATTTTCGCAAGAGAGCTACTAGAGGCGCTATAATCAAAAAAGTATAAGAGACCTCTGTGAAGACAATGGTAACTAAATGCAAGCCGTCCCGTTAACACGGAGGCTTGCGTACCCTGATTATATGTAACCTTTCATCAGCCGTCATCGGCAAAAACCTAGTACGTCAGTAAGCAGAGAAAAGATGGCTACGAATGTTGCTCCTGAATGTCAGTATTTTTACGAGGATGTCATTTATCGAGTGGACAAAAAAGGCAACGTCGTTTTCGGTATCATCATGGAAAACGATGATCAGGATATGTCCGACGACAGTTCGGATGGAGAGGAAAATCCTAAACGAAAAAAGGGCGAGATCCGTGTTGTCTGGCATCCGTCTGGAGATGAAGAATTAATAAATTCTAAAAAGGTGTGCAAATTGATCGATATGGGATAACGTATTTTCCGAACAAATCGAACATTAATACTAACGTTTCTTATCGTCTTTGTCAAAATCACGTTGAGCATTTGTATAGTTGCCAAAAACGACATCTTTTGGTTCATATCATAATATATAATTCTGACAACTGGAATTATATTCAAATTTAAATTAACGATATATTTTCAAAGAAATCTTATTTTTTATTTGACATGCTCATATATAATACATGACTTTTTCGATATATTATTTACAATGTATCTTATGTAGGTGCATTTAGCTGATAGGACATTAATGCCAGGTGATGTTGTGCGTCGTATGATTAAAGGAAAAGATACACAAAGAGGATATTGTAGAGATATTGAGCTTACTGCGTGCATCCAAATTATCGGCACCAAGCAAGTTCTTACCAATATCAGGAGCGAAGATTTAGTTCCTTTAGAAGTATGTAGTGTGATTTATTAAATCATATATTTTTAATATTTATTTACTTATGCTACTCACATTGTGTTATGTATTTAAAGGAATTTGCTACAGAGATTGCAGTTTGTATGGATTCGTGGGTAGGTGGAATTAAAATGACACATTTCAAAGTTTGGGTAGCTACACCTGATGGATCTCGTTGTGTTATCAATGAAATGGATTCACGCGCACTGGGACAACTGGAAGAAAAACGGGACAATGTAAGAAAATGGAATATTTCTAACAATTAAATCACTCATATGCCAAATCGATTAACTTTACAAAAGAAATAGTAGACAGAGTCTTAGTGGTGTTAAGCCCATTTATTAAGGACATTTATTATAAATTCAAAACTTTAAATATTAATCAAATATTTTTATAGTAAAATTATACAAAATTCTAAAACTGGTATTATCAATTTGGCTACTCATTGAGTCGTTGCCTAATTGTGTATTAAAGTTTATATAAAATATTATTTATTTTAGGACAACGATTTTCCGCATTCTACTGAATTTTATCCTGGTCAAAGTTTATGGGGTCCTATTCACTGCCTTGAACAAGCACAATGGATTAATTGTACAAAAGAAATGAAAGCGAAAAGGAAGACAAAACCACAGAAAATAACCAAAGTAATCGTAGAGAAAGTTGAAACTGATTGGGTAGGAGTTCAATGGCAATGTAGAGCATATTCAAAAGATGGAGTTTGGTCTGATGAAGCTCAACCAAAATTTGTAGTTGAAGGAGAGGATTTAAAAAAGTTAAAGTTACTTAATGTCTTTGAACCATCTACATTACAAGTTGGTGATCGTAATTATTATGTAATTAAGGGCAATGAAAATGTTATAACTCGAGAACAATGGAAAAAACAACAAAGAGATATTTTTCAAGTTCCTAAGCATAGCCCAAAAAAAATACGTCCCAATATTAATGTCACAAAACCAGCTGATGATAAAACAACGAATGATAAAAAAGTTGAGGAGAAAAAAAAGGGAAAAGAAAAAGAAAACGTGAGTGAAGAATCCATAGAAGACAGTACACAAAACAATATTAATAATTTACAAAATATTACAAGTAGTAATACATTGATGCCACCTCCACAAGTACAAAATACTGAAAGTTCAGATGATTGGGATACAGAAGATACTGGTTCTCAGAGTGACACTGGTTCGGTATGGATTCAACTAATAAAAGAAATGAAACAATTGAATTTTAATCACGTAAATTGAATTTTATCACTTTTTTAGTTATCCAGTGGATGTTCCAGTATGTCATCTATGGGTAAAAAGAAAAAAGGTCCTGCATTAATGACAAAAGTATTGAAAAAAAAGAAACTGTGCAAAGCCAAAAAAAAAGTACCACCAGCTCCATTAATTCCAGGAACTAAGATAGTTGTGGAAACGCTCTCGACCAATACAAAAGCTAATGTTGTGTGGCAAGATGGTTCTGTAGAATTTGGTATGCAAATCAAATTTAATATTAATGACTTTGCCAATGTTCCTAAGATATATATAGAATAATTTATATTTCTGTAGGTATTCCATCAACACAGTTATATCCGATTCATCATTTGGATGATAAAGAATTTTTCCCAGGTGATTTTGTTTTAGATCAAAAAGAAGAATCTCGAATATATGGTGTTGTACAAAGTGTCGATCACCAAGGTCGAACTGCTAAAATAAAATGGTTTAGGACATATACTTGTAGTCAAACTCCACAGTAAGTATTAAATCATTTTCTAATCAATTGCATAGACAAAAATTTATATAACAAGTATGGTTCACTTTTTTAAATCTATTTAATAATTGAAACTTATTAATGGTAAATTTGTGTTATAGACCAACTTTATTAGAAGAACGTGAAGTAAGTGTTTATGATTTGAAGGATCATCCTGATTTTCAATATAGGCCCGGTATAGTGGTAATACGTATAGCTAATTTTGAAGGAGAAGATGTTGGATGTACTGCTGGACAAGTATTGGATAATTATCCAGAAGGTCGTGTTAAAGTATGGTGGGTCGATGGACATATTAGTATGTGCTGGCCACAAGATTTATACAAAGTTGGTGAGTATGACAGTGATGAAGGAGAACTTTGGGATGATGTATCATCAGATGCTTCATGGGAAACTGAGTTAGAAGATTGTATCATTGCTGATACTGATACAACAGAGCAAACTGAACTAGAAATTATAAAACCAAAGTTAGCTGCACATATTGAAAAAGCTAGAATCGCAATGTCGAGATTAGAAGAACTTTTTACACAAAATCCGTCATTGCAAACTACAGAAGTAATGCGAAAATTGCTGGAAGTTTATAAAGACTGTCGATATATGGATAAACTTATGGGTACGTCATTTTTCCATGAAAGTCATTTTCAAGGATTACTCGAACGTGTAAGAGAACGTGGAAGAGCAAACGTAGCACAACGAATGGCAGATCAAGTAACAAGACTGTTTACTCAAAAATCTGATGGATCAGAAGAAGAAAATATAAGTAAAGACAATCCAAATATTACTCAAAATACTCCTTGTACTATAGAAAGAATAGTAACTAATGTAATGGATGTAGCAACAACAGCTAGCAATAAAAATAATGAAGATAATAATAGAAAACAGAACAAACAAGAAGCAGAATCAAATAATCAATTATTGATTAATGTCAATCCCTGTCCTGAAGATTCTGGATTATATTCTGCAGAGAACTCCAAAAGAGAAGAATCGGGTTCTAGTGAATCTAGTGGAGATTTTTTACTTAGTGAGGATGTTAATAATGAACGTTTACCGCCCGCAGTTGCAACCGAATCAGCAAAAACAGAAATAGATAAAACTTCAAAAACGCAAACGCACGAAGCAAATTTTCATATTGCTAGTTCACATGTTTGTGTAAAACTTTGTACCCTTATAAAAGCTCAATTAGTATTGGCGCATTCAGAAGTTTCAAAGCGCTTTGGTTTATCAAAAATATCGTTATCAGATGCGGCAAAAGGTTCATCGCCTCATAAAAAACTGAAGAAAGAAGAAGAAAAGCAGGTAGAAACATTGTCAGAACCACTCGAATCTATAGTAGATATACCACCACTAATTTATGCAGAAGGTGAAGGATTCTCCATAGAAGAAACTGCTCCGGATAGTCATAAATTCAAATTAACAATGTTCCAACCTACAGATCCTACTAATTTCTTTAGAACGGTTTCAAAAGAACTGAAACTTTTAAGAAGTTCCCTTCCACCGGGAGTGTGGGTAAAAGGTTTTGAAGATCGTATAGATTTATATTCTGTGATGTTCCGTGGTCCTGAAAAAACACCATACGAGGACGGACTTTTTCTTTTCGACTTTCAGTTGTCTGCAGACTATCCTGCTGCTCCACCGCTATGTCATTATATTTCTTATTGTAGTGAAAGACTTAACCCCAATCTTTATGAAGATGGGAAAGTATGTGTGAGTCTTCTTGGAACATGGTCTGGTCGTGGAACAGAAGTATGGACTAGTTCTTCTACTTTACTCCAAGTTATAGTCTCTATACAAGGTCTTATTCTTGTATCAGAACCCTACTTCAATGAAGCTGGTTTTGAAAAACAAAAGGGTTCTCAGCAAGGCAGAGAAAATTCTAGAATGTATAATGAAATGGTAGTATTAAAATTGGTTCAAGCTCAGACTAAATTATTGTTACATCCACCTCTTGTGTTTAAAGACATAATTATAGCACATTTCAAACGACATGCAGAAAGATTATTACAACGATTAGATCTTTGGATGGAGATATCCGAACAACATAATAATCAACATCCATTATCTCCTGTTACACCAACCACATTTAAGGAAATTTCAGAAATTGGTAAATGCTAATGTGTATTTTTATTGTTTGTATTCTTTTATTTTTGGATCTAACAAAATACATTCATTTTTATTCTTTTAGATCAAAAAATTCTGCCTGAATTTCCTTTGATACCGGCTTCCAGAGGTTTTTGTATCACACTTAGAAAAACATTGACAACATTTAAAGATGTACTTCTTAAAGAAAGTATACTACAAAAGACAAGCAATTTACCAAATTATACAAGAGAAACAATAAATAATACTATTCAAGAACATCAAAACATAAGGACAAATATAGAAAACAAAGAATCAGAACACGATACCAGTAGGAGCTGTGTACAAGCAGATAGTAAATCATTATCAAATGGCAATTTAAGAAAAGGCTTAATTTCATCTTCCCCTACAATCACTCCAAGTGAAAGGAAAAAAAATTCATCAGAAAGAAGTACCAGCTAGCCACAAGGTAAACATATATCCAAAATTAAGCGCATATTTTGCGAAAATTATACGAAATTTCGGTAATATATTGAATTAATTTATTAAATTAGATCCTGAAAAATGTTTATGATATCTATTTATTAATATTAACATTAATAATGAGAAAACTCCTAACAGAAATGCCGCTGTCATTGCTCCGCAGCTAGGATATTGATATTGTTTAGTAATCATTTAGTAATACAACTGTAATTGTATAAGGGACATATATATAAAAAAGTGATATGCTATTCTTGTGCACTCCTTTGTACAATTACAAAAATAAAATATAAAATTAATATGTGGTATGAACCATTTCGTGATACCACATATATATTAGTTCTATAAATCGGCAGCAATAAACAGCTGCCTTATTAAACAGAAAAATATTTGTAAAAGAAAAAGATCTTGAGCATACAAGAAAGATAATTCAATACATTGGATGTTCGAAATGATAAAAAATAAAAGATATACTAATCTTTAGCAATACGTCGAGTCAACATTAAATACTTTGCAATAGCATTAAGAGATATGATAATAATAGTTATTAATTACGAGTGAATTTCATTGAGTAAATTTTTAGTAAAAATTCCTATCTATTTAAGAATAAATCATTTATTAAATTATATTAAAGTCATTATATGCCATCCATTAATGTTACATTGAAAAAACTATGAAGAAACTCTAACTGCAGTAGATAGTAGTTTAGAGACAAAAATTCATATTTAAACAAAACTAACTGACACAGATAAGTATAATGTTAAAGATTCTGGTAGAAAATAGTATATATGTAATAAAAATTATAACGTTTCATTATCCATAATAGAAGTCTCATTATTAATATAATTCTTTTGCATATTAGTGGAGAACAAATCTTTAATTTTTCTAAATGAATTTTTACAAAATATATTGCACAACTCATAAAACAATTATTTAAATATTTAAGTTAATAGAGTATATATGTTATCGTTAAAACGTTAAATCCGTTATTTCATAGAATAACTAGGTTTTCGTGAAATATCCAAAATATCCGCTAAACTATGAAATAAGCTAAAATTATATACTTTAACTAGTTATTCTATGTGCAATAATCAGACGCCATTAGTTAAAGCATGAAATAGAAATTTGATGTCAAAAGTATTAGAAAATTATTCTTTGATTGTGTTTTAAAAAAAAAAAATATACCTACAGCGAGTATTCGTACTGTATTTTATATATAAAGCGTTGTTATGTATAATTATTTAAAAAAAACATACTTAATTTTATTTTTTCTACGATATTTTAAATATAATGAAAATTTGATTTTAAAAGCCAAAATTGATCTTCTAAAAAAAATATAAAGAATTAAAAAATATCTAAATTTATTCAATTAAACTGAATAGTTTTATTGTTATAAAGTAGAATTTTAATATTTTGAAAAGTAAAATAAATGTTCACAGTAAGTTTTTATAAACTTTCGTTAAACTTTCTGGTTTGGTCTTAGTAGACCAGGAAGAATAATTACAGTAAGTATAGACATGAATTTTTTTTTTTTTAAACACAATCGAAGAATATTTGTCTTATATTTGACATCAAATTTTTATTTTATGCTTTAATTGCGTCTGATTATTACATAGAATAACCAGGTAAAGTGTATAATAAAATTCTTATTGTATGCTTTCCCTAAAACGCTTCGATATTTCATGAAATAACTAAATTACACACTTTAGCGGTAATATATATATATATCTATACACATTTAGATCAAAACATTTCTTAATATTATTTTGAATTTATTTTTATAATTTTTTTAAATGTAAAATGTTCTATATGTAATAAGATAATTATATATATATATATTTGTGTTTAAAAAAAAGGAATACTTTTAAAAAATTCTTATATTTGGAAAAGAAAGTTCTGGTTAATAGATACAATAAGTGTATATAAAAAAGCTAATGACACATTTTTGTTATGTTTTATAATTTTTGTGTTCCATATTTGATACATTAAGAATGATTTAAATTACTAATGATCATTAGCAAACTCATAATCATATAATTCGGTACATTTAATGTAGTGTTATTTTTTATTTTTATTATTAATTTTTGTATTTTACTTAATTAGGTATACTATCTTTTTTCCTTCTGAAATCTCAAGGACTATTTAATTAATGAAAACAATTTATGAAGTTTCATGGTATGATTTTATATAAGAAACAATAATATTTATTAAATGTTTACATTTCTATTATATGCAATTAGATGAGTACTATATATTATGTTGATGAACAATGTATATTATATTGATGAACAATGGATTAATGGTTATGAAACTTTTGTAATGATTGACGCAATTTTACTTTACTATCATTCATATATCACATTTATCTCATTTTTATCATATTATAATTTGGAACAGCTATTATGAAATTTTACGCCTTATAACGTAATCAAAAGGAAAAAAGACGGTTTATGGTCATACGAAGGAAAATGGTCTCTTCGATGTTATATGGTGCTGAATGATTAAAACAACATAAGAAATAGGGAAAGAAAGAATAAATAATGGGGAAAGACGAAAAAAGGGAAAAAAGAGAGAGAGAAAGAGATAATGTGACACAGAATTTACAGTTTGTATTAAAAGAATGTATAACTAAAGATAATGATATAAGCAACAAAGGAATAGTAAAAAAGAGGCAGTGAGTGCGGTAAATATGAAAGTTTGCTGCAAACTTAGCAAAAAGTGATGTTTGGAATGCCTTGTATATGTGCCAGCTATTTATATTTACATTTATATTATTATAAAACATATTCTCAGAAGTCGCATCAAAGCTTTACTTTTATCGTATACACATACTCTTTAAATAGTAATAATGAAAAGTGATTATTATATAAATCACTTACACGTATTGGTTTGTATCAATACTACTTACAATAAACAGGAAAGAAAAATAACAATTACAAAATATACTGCGAGTCAGATATCATACCATTATAAATTATGCTTTCTTAAATATAAATATTATTTTTAACATTTAAAACAATGATATAATTGCATATAAGTAAACACAAATACAAAAGAATGTACTATTACGTTACCTTACAGATAAATAATATTAGGATTATATTCTTATTATCTCCTAATACTCGCAGTAGTTGTACCGCCTAGTTTGTCTTCTTCTCACTTGACATTTTCACGCGTTGGCATCTATTATTCAGAGATTACAACATTGCGTGAATGATTTACCATATATGTAACTTGGTTCCTTTATTTTCAATCAATAAAAAGTCATGTGATTAAGAAATATAATAACTTGAAATTATTCTTTTCTGTTGTTTAGATTGTAAAAATCCGAATCCTTGTCCTGTAGACCCAGCCATAGTCGCTTCTCTTTTTGTGAAGTCGTAAATCTTCAATGTGACATTTCTCATGTCAATGATAATAAATCATATATAGACACAGCACAAGTATACAGACTGAATATCTTAAGCATTTAATAAAAGATCATTGTTAAACCAGTAATATATCTTATTTCTTTTAAACATATTAAATTTACATGAACTTTGTAAATATATACAATTTATGCCAAACAAAAAATGTAAAAGTCTTTTTATTGGACCATTTTAGAAACTATTAAAACATTTTATACTGCATTACTATTAATTTTCTCAGGTATTTTATCTCTTATAGTATTAAAACAGATAAGCTGCATTCTATATCTGTTATCACTTGTTATCTATCGCCGTTGATTCATCAGTCGACAATCAACGCTACACCCAGTTTTTCTTATCCACTGAAAAGAAGAGTTATTCTATATCCTCTTTAAGTGAAGTTATAACAATTTATCAATTAAAATGTATTCCAAAAAATTACTGTTCTACCTCGCAATTGGTTTTCGTAAGTAAATATAAACAAACACTTAACAAATTGTATTATAAGCTCATGAAAATTGTATAAAATACTTACAATATATTCGATGGTGGAATAGTTATTATAGGAATCTTTGTCGACGAAACAGAAGCAAGACGTAAAATACTACGCGGTCGTAAAACAATAACAAGGCAATATTACAGTAAGTAAAAGTTGTAAAATATTGATAAAATTTATATGTTCATTTGTTTCATCATAACATTTAAATATTTAAACTATTTTAGGAGGTACAGCTATACCTGCATGGTCGATAGTACTACTATGTGGGATTAGTATGTTGCTCATAGGCGGTGGTCTTTATGTTTTACTACAAAAGTTTGTAGTTGATCCAGCTGACGCATCAAAAAGCCATTCATATCAACCAGCATTACAAAACGAAGCATAATTTTTAATAAATTATTATAATTATTTGTTTTTGTATACGTTTATAAAAATCATTAAATTATAATTCATGTATATTTTAACTTATGTATTAATAGGGTGGTAATCAATATATTTTTAATATTATATCTGTATAAACACAATGACAATATTTTATTTTTTTTGTCCATCACAATTACTTAAATTTTTTATATTGCATTTAGCAATGTCATTTAATATCGTTATTAATTACTTCTTATTTCCAGGTTATCAATTTACTACAAATATTTAAACTATAAAATATTCCACGCATCATTAATTATATTGCATTTTCTTTTTAATAAAGAATTACAATAATCTCTTAAGGAAATGAACCTAAATTATAAGAAATTATTATTGTAAAATTCTGTGCTGTCAAAAATAGTTGAACGATTTCTATCTTCTAATTAAAAGTAATTATAGAGAACAGCATTGCCGTCACGAAATACTATTTACCTTTAAGACATATCAGATTATTCACTTATATGTATTATACAATATAGTCAATCATTAATTGATAAGAAAGAAGAGTCTACAATCTAGAATTCTCTACGATGATATTTATCAGGATCAAAATATGATGTAACTACTACACGGTTATTGAATTTACGTCCTGTCAAAGTCTGTTGTGCTTTTTGGCAATCGATAACGCTGTTAAACTCAACGAATACCTATAAAATAACAATAACAATAAGTTATACGTAACAATGAAAAAATATAAAAAGATATAAAAGAAATGAACAATTCTATAACATACTTTTCCACATCCTGGAACATCAACACCTTCAATAGGTCTTGGTATTTCTACAGATCGAACTACACCATATTTGTTGCATTCTTCCTTGATATCTTCTAAAATATCTTCATATTCCTCTTCTTCCATTAATTCTTCTGGTGTAACCATATTTAATAAGCAAAGTACCTGAAAATATGTCATAATCATGTTAATTCAATGTTTATACTAGTGACATATTTATTTATATATTTACCTCCGTTGCAGGTCCACTTGTGCCTACCATAGATAGACCAGGAACCTGAATTTGTACAGGAGCTTGTGCTCCTATCATAGGATTCTTTGCACCGACACTAGCTCGTTGTACGATCAACTTCTTGTCTCCTAGTTGCATACCATTTAATCCAGCAATAGCTTGATCCGTCATGGACACATCAACATATTCGCAAAAAGCGTAACCTTTTGATAATCCTGTAGCTGAATCCTTTACTAAATTGAAAGCTCTCAGTTGACCAAAACTCATCAGTAGCTCCTTTACCTAAATTATCACAATGACATTATTTGTATATTTTCATGTAACTAATATAAAATGATCTATACTAATGTAGACCATGCAATTTTCCCTTTAAAAAATAATAAAATTAATAATAATTTATCTATGTGTGTTTTGTTACTTTAAAACATTCTTTTATTCTAATAAACATTGAGATGATTTCATTGAAAGAGATTATGCATCAAATATATGCACGCGAATATATAATAAAATTAATTAATTTTTTAAACGTATAGAATATTTGATAATCTGTAAGATTATATCAAAAAAAATACATATTAAATAATTACTTCAACAAATACATGATAAAGTTAACGATATTTATATAGTAAATGTTTAATTTAGAAATTTCATTCAAATAGAAAATTGCATAGTATAAGAATATGAAACTGATTGTTGAATGTATAGATGTGCCTGGTAACACCTATTCGTATAATGTCTATGCATTATTTTATTATATATAATATTTAATTCTGCTTAGTACCTCCTTCCTAAAAAAAATTCGAATATATCTAAATAATATTCTTCTTAAGCATAATTTCTCGTTTCTAGAATTTGTATAATTATTAATTATGTTTAAAGTATGTGTATATATATATGTATATTATACAGTACATGTACATTATACAGTATATATACATATATATGGATATATGTATTAATATAGTGATATTACTTACATGTGCCCATTCATCACAGAAACTGTAAACTTTGAAATTTAGATAACAGCATGTTGCATCTATCGAGGAGGTAAAATACGACATACCATCCTCATATAGATTTAACAAAAATATTCCTGATCTCCTCACAAGCTAGCAACATGCTTTTACCGATAAATTCTACCAGAATATCAAAGAACGCACCATTAGCACAGAAGAATCGCAGACTTCGGGAAAGGGGCTGCAAAATCGCATAAGCCCAATGTACGAAGGCATGAAAATGAGATAAGTACTTGCCTCGAGGGACTGGACTAGCCTCTCTCCAGGCAGTGTGGTATATTGTCATGTTCGGTAGTAGTAGTAGTGGTAGAAGTAGTGGTAGAAGTAGTGGTAGTGGTAAGCAAATGCTTTTGATCAGCGCGACCCTAAGCTAAGAAATGGGGAGAAAGGGCACTGGTATCAGTCCACAATTTACTTTACAGTAACCAAAGGATTTTACTTTTCATTCTATTTTAATCATATTTCACTGTAAGGAAACTTTTATTAACTCTCCAATGATGCAATATAGCAGTTGTTTACTTTTGTTTCTCTGTCACTCTCAGTATTTTCTCTTTGCCTAAAGACACATTACTGAAATTTGAACACGTAAATTTCATTTGCGTAACCTGTAAACGCAATAAGGCACAAGATGAAGATCTGTAAAGCCTGTAAAGAAAATAGCTGCAAGGGAAAAAGATATTCCTGAAAAGAATAGATACCAGAAGACTTGGAGCTGTTACCAGATGCACATAAAATTATGTGTTGACCCTGTAATCCCATCCAAAATAAAACCAATTTGCTAGATAAAACGTTGATTTGTTTCACTTGTAGAGCTATAAAGAGTCTTGTTGCATAAGCATCATTGCCATAAAAAACCTGGATGGCTCTGTAATAATATTCTTGTCAAGTATACGTTTTGTTTACATGACATTTTTTCATCATTCTATGTAATATAATTTTTTCTTTATCTTTTTTTTGTGCTTTCTCATTTAATAGATAATAATGCAATTGCAACAACTTCCCTTCCCTTCTTATATTTGGACTGCGACACTTTTGCTAAACTATTCTTGTTCTAGTTAGTCGAATTAGAATTTCTTTGGCTGGACCTAGAATATGCCTAAAAAGGATTTAAAAGAAAAAACGACTGCTGCGACTGCATGCCATTTAAATGCTGCAACGCCTCTAACGATTTTCTTTGTTATCTATGTATCTATCCTGCACAACTTCGGGACAATGTGTGACAATGATAAAGGAATGAAAGAAGATATTGAACGCATCTGCTAATCCACAGAGATTGATAAAAGCGAAACCTGATTTTCCTACCTAATGACCTAATCAACGCAGAAATCCAGTGGATACACATACATACCTCTGTAGAATTTTGGCAGACTGGTACACCTTCCTCTGTTTAATCTCCGCTAAATAGCTAAGTACCTATGTTATAATGTAATCCTTTTGTTTAACTCGTAATGCTGTGTGTGAGGATTGACATAATCAATAATCCTACAGCAATAGAGTCCTAACATTTTCGCATTGCAGTTATTTCCCAGTCATTGATGCTTTTTTTATCATTTTTATACAAGACTAAATACATATTCAATAATCAAAAAGTTAGCTTCAATGAAAGAGAACTGCATTTAAAAGTGTGCAGTGAATACAAATGGATTAGTAAGTTTATTTGCATACCTGTTCCTCATTCAAATAATTCGGTAGACCACCAATGAAAATCTTGTGTGGGGAATCTGTAAATAATATATGTATTATATTAAATTGATTATATAATATTAAAATATTAACACATTGACGTCAGGAAGTTTAAGGCGTAATACAACTGATAAAAAAAATAAAAGATGATTTTTGGGAATTTTTTTTTCGAAAACTAGGAAAGCTATTACCATGTAATTTTTTACAATTTTATTATTTATATAATCTTTTTTTTCTTTTTAAAAATGTACAAAATTTACAAAAATCCTTTGCTCACACAGCTTATTTTTTTTAATTCAAAAATCAAAAAGATTCTTATTCTTTGTATAAATGACTATTGCATGAACGAGGGAAAATTAATTTATTAGTAAAAAAATAAAAAAATGGAAACACAAATTGAGTGTGTAGTGTTTTGTTCAATTAGTCGCCACTTTGTTAATTTATTACTAAATTTATTTTCTCTAGTTCTTGCGATAGTCATTTATATACAAATAAGAAACTTTTTGATTCTTTTTTGCATATATACTGGAGGGAATTATCGTGCCTACTATTGTTTTTTACGTGCTATTCAATATTACTTCAATATTACTATAATATTAATACGTGCTAGAGTCAATAAATAAAATTAAAATAAATTACATATTAATAGTTTTTCTAGTTTTTAAGAAAAAAATTCCCCAAAATTACCTTCTACTTTTTTGGTTCAAGTGGTACTATGCCTTAAACAAGAAATAAAAAAAAGCTGAAAAAAAAATTTTAATTGTTTCAATTTCTGAAACATCTATTATGTTTTAACAAAGAATTTGATCCATTTACAGTGTTCTTTGGATTTATTTCTAGGATAGATATATGAAAATCTTAATTACGTATTTTCGCATAATCCAACGCCAATGTGTTTATATAATTGTATATTGTACATTGATATATAAAATGTATGCATAAAACATACCAGGAACCGTACCTGGCACGTTCATGCTTGGATTATCTGTCATTCCAGGCATTGGTTGATAATCGTGAGGTCTTCTTATTTTTAAACTTTGTCCTTTAAAATTAATCCCATCGAAGGCCATAGCTTGTGTAGTTTCATCTATTGAACGAAACTAAAATAAAAGAAATTTAATATAACTACAAAACTTCTTACTAATGATTATATAAATAAAAATCAGAATTTCTTTATACTCGGTGGTAAAAAAAAAGGATCCGATATTTTAATGTTTTATAGTACTTGTCAAAAGTGGTAAAACATGTCTTACTAACATTGATCCTAGAATCAACCCTTTCGAAGTAAATTAATTTTTATTATTTACGAGCGCTCAATATCGTAAGCAA